CCGGACCCGAGCAAATCGTGTTGGCGTCAGCTAGCGGGGCAGGGCAGGGAGACGTCTCATCACCGTGGCTACTGGGGTTGGAGACCTAGACGCGGCAAGCCATGGATCATGCTCGGTACGACGCGGTAGGTGGATCAAAGGGTGAGGCGGGCGCCACGTTGGCCGAGCCACGACCACCATAGCCACGGCTTGCTCCGAGCGTGGCACCGCGGCCAGTCGCTCAAGCACGACGTGCGCGTGGCAAAGGAAGCCTGGCCTCGACCAACCAGGGCCGACCAACGCCAGGCCATAGACGCTACGCGACGCCGTCAAGCACGTGAACTGCCCAGCAGTAGTAGCCCGGGCACGGTCTGAGCCCAGCGCCAACAGCGCCCATGCGTGCGGTGATCACAAACCCGGACCGAGTGACAACAGGTGACGTGCACACATTTTAAAGCTTGGAAACCCACCTGTTAGAGCTCAGTTGAGATTAAGGTGAGAGTTTGAGACTCTTGTAGCCCCTAAGGACTGCGTAACCAAGCAACCAGCACGGCCAAAGGGTGACCCACGAGGAAGATATAGAGATGCCAACGTGAGGTCGTCACGCTCGGCGCTGGCTCAGGAGCGGAGCACCAACAGCCTACCTCAACGCGTTCTAGTGAAGTTAAGGCAAATTCTACAAGAGTATTGTGACACCCAATACTACTATCACCTAAGCCATGCTCAAGTACTCGCCTAGAGGCAACCAACCGTACAAAAACATGAAGTTGGTGAACAACAATTTTTGTTAGAATTTGATTGTCAAAACAGCATTGTCTATTCCGACTTAGAGAGAATAAGAACTTAACTAGAACTAACAACCTTTAGCGCTTCTGCCGTAATTTTTAATATGCATAAACCTAATTAATTCCAACCACTACACATTTCACACACTAGTCCATACGTCATACTAACTCGTAGAAACAAAACATCTAAGAACTACTTAACTAGTTGTTCAATATAATTCGTCAAAAATGATACTTTTAACACCACTTCAAATTTTTGCCGATTCAACGAAAAGCGCTAATTTTAATTTCCAATTTAATTTTTGAGCTTCCAAGAACACTAATTAACAACCTTTGTTTTCGAAAATTAAAGTTGCACTTTTTATTTACACCATTTGCTCATCACCTTTACTTAAGCATTACACAAGCTATATTTGCTTTTTATGCCAACGATTAACACAACTTATTCTTTCCTTTTTGTCAAGATTTTTATTAGCATCTATAGGCATTTACGTAACTAACTTACTATGTTGATAGATCTATCTCTCAGGCCATAATCTTAGTGCTAAGCGAGCTTGTAACACTAGAGGAATTATATTGCAAATGTACTTTGTTAAAAAACTCAAGCAACAAGGTCGTCGATAAGTTTTATAAGGTCTGTTTGGTTGGGTGGCTCAGGCGCCAGCCAACCTTCCGTAATGCAACTTCCTCGTGCTTGGATGCTGCACATGTGCTAAGCCAGGCTCAGGAAGCGGGGGAAGAGGGTGGCTCGCTGGAAACAATCTGAGGGGTCGTTTCCAGTAAGCCAGGCACCCCATTGGTATCGCCTCACCGCCGAGCGGACTCACCTACACCGTGCTCGTCACCATGAGCTCCGCCTCCCGCTCGTCGCCGCGACCTCCACCGCCCCAACGTGAGCTCCGTCGGCCGCCAGACCCTGCCCGTCCGAGCTAGCCCCAGTGCGAGCTCCGTCGAGTCCTTGAGCGGGAGATCCGCCTCTCCCGTGCTCGTCTCTGAACTCCCCTTGCGGGCCAGCGCGGCGAGGTTGCGGTGGTTGAGGTCGTCGTAGACCTATAGCCCGTTCCCGAAGATGGACACAGGGATGGGCCCTGCGGCATGCGGAGCTTGCGGCCACGGATCTTGGACACCGCGATGGTGACCATGACGAACGCGAAGAGGCCGACCAGGAGCTTCTCCACCTCTCCCAACGGCGGCGGCAGGCACGAGCAGGAGGTTCCACGACGGAGGAGGCAAGGAGGCAGATGGGAGGGGTGGCTCCTCGGCCATGGCGAGAAGGAGGAGCAGGAGGCGTCGTCGGCCATGGCTGGAGGAGGAGCAGGATGCGTTCGTGTCCCCGGCCATGGCGAGGAGGAGGAGCAACGCGATGGACCAGACGGCGTGGCTGGTGTGGAGAGCAGCGGCGCGGTTGGCCGGACGACATGGCAGGCGTGGTCGGCGTGGAGAGCAGCGGCGCCGGAGGAGCACGAAGGTGACGCATTGCAGGTGTTCGTTGGAATGCTTCAAAGGAGGTAACTTACCACCTTAAAAAAGAAGGTGATTCTATTCAAGCAAAACCAGATAATCAAACACACCAAAACTTAGCCAGACTTAAACAATCACTCCAACCAAACAAGTGACTATTGGCTTGTGTAAAGCTGGCTAAGTTTGGACTGGCTCCAAAAGCAAGCCAGGCTAGGACTTAACCTGAACCAAACACACCCATAAGCAACCAAACGATGATCTTCACTCAGCAAAAGAACCAAACGTTCTGTAGCGCCAAGGTGGGTCTTGCTGGAATTGGCAAGCTTGTCTAGCTAAGCTATATAGCCCAGCAGCTCAGCGAGACTACCAAACAGACCGACCCGGCCGTTGCACTCATTCCCTATTCTTTGAGCCTGCCCTAGCGTGTTCATTTTTTTTATTTTTAACACTTTTTTGAAACTATTTTCAAATATGACACTGTTTTTTTTCAAAACTAACATTTTTGGCCGCGCCTATTCGTATGGTGCGGCGAAATCACATTGCCGCTCCATGTATAGGGGCACGGTAGGAGCGATGACGTGGCAGCGACCAGGGCTGTTGAACGCTGACGTGGCCGGGGCTGCTGCGTCGTGGATCTGGGCACGACACTGATGCGCCATGGAGAATGGCGTGGTAATGCAATTCCACATGTGAGAGAAAGCTATTCATGCGCAAGCAGTTTGAACGTGTACTACCTGGTTTTCAATACCCATGTGCATGGGACCCACGCTCCTTGATCTCTTCCCAGCTGCATCCTTATCTTCTTAGTTCTCAGGAAGCAACAACAACCTACATCCTTATCTTCTTAGTTCTCAGGAAGCAACAACAACCTTATCTCATTCTCATTGGTTCTCATCTCTCGAACTCTCGCCAACTTCCTCTCTCTTGTTCTCTCTCCCTTTCTTGTTCGTGCCTTGGATGGACGCTGGACGCCCTACTTCTCAGGCAGCGGCGGTGACAACATGCGGTGCTAGCTTACATCAACTACGGCCCTGGCCCATAGTGAAGGTGAGCCAGCCATGGCGATGGTGTGGCCCAACACCTCAACTTGCGCTGCTCGGGCCGGGCCGAAAGCGTGTGATGAAGGCGTGCGACGGTGAGCTGGCGAGATGGGCGGGTGTGGCGGCTTGGCATCGGTGTCTTGGGTGGGCGCGGCAGTGCGGTGCCGGCGAGATGGATGCGTGTGGCGGCTCGGCATCGGTGTCGCCAAAGGCCAGCAAAGGCGGCGGTGACGACGAGTCGGGCTTTAGCGTGGCGGTGTGGTGACGACGAGTCGTGGCGGGCGGCGGCGAAGGCGGGCGACGACGACATAGCAACTCATCAGCGGTGCGACGCCGACGGTTGTAGCTGCGTGGCGGCGCGACAATGGCGTGCTCGTCGGCGTCGGTGAGCTTTTTTTTATTCCCAAAAATCGTTTTTAGGGGCGGTTGACTTAAATCAACCACCTCTGAAAATCTATTTTTAGGGGCGGTTGTCTTAAAAGAACCGTCCCTAGAAATTGATTTTTAGAGGCGGTTTTAAAATCATGTCTAAAAATCACTAATTTTTACAATCGGTGGCGTTGTAGCGGTTTTTCAAACCGCGTTTGAAAACCGATTTTAACCGCCTCTAAAAATCTTTTCTGTACTAGTGATGCTATGGCTATACATGAATGTTTCAGACGCATGTTTCAAGTGTGTCATCTGTTTTAGACGTATCAAGCGAACAGGGTAGGATGTGGCGTGGAGATTTGAAACTGGTCCGGCCGGCTCCAAACTTTCACATCTGAAACACTTGAAACATACACTTGCAACATGCATGCGCTTTCAGCAAAACCTTGCAGGCGGGCGGGCGAAGCGTTGCACGGCGAGATCTGCCCGTATGCCCCCAATGAGCGGCTGCGCTGCCCCCAGCCATAGGGCGGGTACGGTGCCCCCAGCGAGCAGCACCCGCGGTGGAGGTAGCCGCGGCCTCCCACAGCGAGGCGCCCCCCGTGCTAGAGAAGGACGTGGTAAGGCGCCCCTGCGCTAGAGAAGACGAGCGGCGGGCGGGCGATATGGTGCAACGGTGAGGAACACACGACCGTCTGGGGAAATGTCCTTTTTTCCCTCATCCAATGGAACCGACGTCCGCATCTGAGGATTTTCGTAAGCAAAGTCACACCTATCATCATATAAGAATATTAAACCGAAATAAGAGTCTGAACCCAAATAGACGATTCCACCGAAGAAACCAGTTTGCAACGTTATATTTAAAATAATCAATATAAAAATGTAGCATCGAATAAGAACGAAAAATAGAATGGCCCATCACCACCGTATATTAATATACAATAAAAAAAGTGCCAACATGCTTTTGCATCAACAATACATATGTCCACGTTCGCTTCGCTGAAAAAACAAGCCGAAATACTATTCTGACTGATTTGTTGTGAGAGAAAAATACTGTTCCGGCTAAAAAAACAAGCTAAAAAGTACGGATTATAAGACAAGCGAACAGGACCATACAATATATCTTGTCCACCAATGCAACCGAACAATTTCAATTTCTTCTCTTAATAGTTAAGAGAAGAAAAACCTCCTACATGGCTGAACAACCGAGAGGAGCAAGTTTGCAAGAAACTGTGAAACGGTAGCAGGCCACAGATTAAGAAGGTCTAGTAAGACCCTACGGATGGATGGCGATGGACTTGCTTGAATTATTAGCCGAATCGAGGCCCATCACATATATGCTAACAATGCAGTTGGGCTGGATCCATCAGTTGCTCCACTCCGGGCCAAAGTATCTAGCGTTGGGCCTCCTGGACCTCCTCGCGGCGGGCCGCCCAGCTGAGTCCGAGTCCGAGTCCGAGTCCGAGCCCGAGTCGGCCAGCGCGCCGACGCCGCGCATGAAGGCGACGTACTCCTCGGCGCGCGCTTCCAGCGCCACCGCGCTTCCGGCCAACCTCCGATGCGCCTCCGCCACCGCCTCCCCGCCGGGCCTCGCTGCGAACTCGGCCGCCATCCGCGTGAACGTCTCCACCGATCCCGCCGCCTTGGCGAGCACCTCGAGCCCGAGCGCCTCCCCTTGCGCTGCGATGGCCTTCCACTCCGGGTCCCCCGGCGTGAGCTCCCCCGACGCGAGGCTCTCGGCCGTGGCTAGCATGAACAGGCGCATCACCTCGTCCTGCTTCGCGTCCACCGCCTCGGTCTTCGACAGCAGCTGCAGCAGCTCCTCGAACGCCATGGATGTGAGGCGGTGGACTTGCGTGGTTGTGCTGGACGAGAACCCGGGGGCTTTGGTCGCCTTTTATAGACAGCGGCAGGCGAAACTAACTGCAATGCCGTATGCGAGCCGAACTCGGATAGTCGGATTCCGAATCACCGATGCGGAGCCGGGAGGAACGTCGAACGTGCGCGTTACTTGTTTTTTTACCTGTTCTTTTTCTGTCCTTTTTTTTTTTGACACCGCCAGGAGCTTTCCGTCCATTTTTGTAATTCGAGCGAGGAACTGAAGCATGTGCACCGTCCATTTTTTATACTAGTATATCTAAATGAAAACATTTCTAATAACGATACTTTTTTAGATAGAGGAAACATTTCAGTTTCATCCCTTCTAACTAAGAGAACCAAACCAATTATTACAAAAAAAATGAAACATACAAAACAAAAAAAACTACATGGTTATTGTTTCATACACCCAATAAACTTGGAAAAACATTCTTTGATGTCATCACATCTTTTCAATTGCGTCCAATGTCATAGCCATTACATTTCCTTTGAGTAGACCACTTTCGGTTGGCATTTATCAAAAAACATTTTATTTCTTGTTAACTATAATGTCCAACAAATGGCTACACCACCTGTCAACGACAATGTCTTATTTGATCTACCCTTTTGTTTGTGCTAATTTTGAAAGAGATTATGTTTATTCAAAGCCCAGGGTCTGAGACGCTAAGAATAGGTGTTGAATAGCTTCATCCATATTGCAAAAATATGCCAGACTTGTTCACATAATTCCTCTTTTAATAAATTATATTTAGTTAAAATAAACCACTCTCTCGACGAATCAGAGAAAAATTATTGTCAACAGTATCTTAGACGCCAAATAGCCATTGAGGTTTTAATGCTCGTAGTGACAACATGTTTATACATGGAACTTATCTTGAACATATGCCATTGTTTTTAAGAAACCAAAAGAACATATCTCGTCCAACTTGTAAGTTAATGTTCACAAATCTTGCTATTAAATTAATCCGCTCAACCATCTTAAGTCCGACCGAAACCCTTCTTAAGGAAATATCTATTTAGGGACCTATCCATAGAGTATTTACTATAGTAGTATGTTGAGCTTTTTATCTGTATGGCCCTGAAAAAAAATGCATTTTTCTTTCATGACCCTTTTTTTATTTGAACTTACTTGTGTGGCCTCAAACAAAATTTCCTTCCTTCCGTGACCATCCGTCAAATCTGTTAGGGCGATCTGTTAGTCTCCCCACTTGTAGATACACAAAATGTCTAGATTGCCCTTCTGCTCTTCTTCCCTTCTACCGCATGCGACCGTGCCTAGGAAAAAATGACCGAGCGCTTCGAGCTTTGACCAAGCCGGGGAAAAAATCGATTTTAAAACCGTCTCTAAAAATCGATTTCCAGGGACGGTTCTTTTAAGACAACCGCCCCTAAAAATGGATTTTCAGAGGCGGTTGATTTAAGTCAACCGCCCCTAAAAATGATTTTTGGGAATAAAAAAAAGCTCGCCGACGCCGGCAAGCACGCCATTGCCGCGCCGCCACACAGCTACAACCGTCAGTGCCACACCACTGATGAGTTGCTACGTCAGGTCGCCGTAGTGCTGCGCCCGGCCAGCTCGCCGTCGCCGCACTGCCGCGCCTGGCCAGCACACCGATGCCGAGCCGCCACACACGTCCATCTCGTCGGCACCGCACTGCAGCGCCCGGCCAGCACACCGATGTCGAGCCGCCACACCCGCCCATCTCGCTAGCTCGCCGTCGCCGCCTTTGCCAAGGCTTCGCCAAACCAGCCCGTAACAGCGCAAGTTGAGGCGTTAATACACCATCGCCATGGATGGCTCACTTTCACTATGGGCCAGGGCCGTAGTTGATGCAAGCCAGCACCGCATGTTGTCACCGCCGCTGCCTGAGAAGTAGGACGTCATGCGTCCAACCAAGGCACGAACAAGAAAGGGAGAGAGAACAAGAGAGACGAAGTTGGTGAGAGTTCGAGAGATGAGAACCAATGAGAATGAGATAAGGTTGCTGTTGCTTCGTGAGAACTGAGAAGTTCGTGAGAACTGAGAAGATAAGGATGCAGCTGGGGATTTTTTTAACACTTTTTGTAAACTAATTTTAAATCTAACACTGTTTTTTTTTTTAAAACTAACACTTTTGCCCGCACCTATTTCCCTGGCGCGGCGAAACGCCTGTGCCGCGCCATGCATGGTGGCGCGGCGAAAGGGATGACGTGGCGACGATCGGGGCACTGACCGGTGACGTAGCAGGTTCTGCCGCACCATAGCCCACGGGGCGGCAGGACCTGGGCGCAGACAGAAGCCGACCAGCCTCAACTGCAATTGAACGGGAGCTGCTGTCGGTGCTGTAAACAACTACAAGTGCTGCGGCGACGCATTGAAATGAATATGAAGTAAATAAATGGAGTCCGTGCGCAAGTTGATAAGTTACCACATAACATTTTCATTGGTTCATAAGTCTGCAAGTTTCGGACGACAATATTCGTTCCACATAAGTTCGACATAACCAACTAAGTCCTAGGAGTGTAAGGATCTCTCGAACGCCTCTGACTCTTCGGATTTGTAGGCAACACATTGGGAGTGTAGCCAACGTCGGTGTGGTCGTGTTGCCGGTGCGTACGGCTCGTACCATGCAAGTATATGATATGCACGATTACATATAATCTTTATGATCGTTAGTTCATGGAGCCTACGTATTTAAAGAAACTACCTTTGTTACTACCTGTGAGGTTCCTTGGGTCCCAAGCGAGGCACCACCTAGCTAAGACATGTCGATCTCGTCCTACTGCCAAGGGTCCCACTGGTGGTGCTGTATGCGGAAGCCCGGGGGGTCGTCATCATCGTCGTCCTCGTTTGCAGGGTCCTTACCAACGCTATAATGTGGTGGTGTACGCACAGCGAAAGCGGCACCTGTCACCGGCCGAGAAGAGTCGGCTGGTGTCCTCAAAGAGCCAGAAGACGTGGCACCCGACCGCGCTTCCTGCAGCTCCGCTTCACCTTCTGCATGAATAGACGTTAAAGTTAGTGCATTTCCCAAATGTATATACACCAAAGAAATATTTTTGGAACGAACAAGTTTATGTTTACCTCCACAAAAGCCTCGAGAACGCCTGGCCACTGCTCTCTAGACTCATGAAGCCGAAACGCTACTTCGTTGGACATCCGACAATTGTGTCGCCTGGGTACAGAAATGCGGTTGGACAGTTTTAGTACACATACTTAATTCCAAATGGATAACAAATTGTACCATTCGAGTATCTTACCACGTATCTTTGAAGCGGTGCTCTCTGTAGTTGTGTCATCCCAAGTGGCAACGTCGTACACATCTTCGATCACATCTTCCTCGTCGTCCTCGTTAATCGCCTCCTCAGTATACGGTGTGCTGGTCGTGTGGGGGTCCCGCATCGACCGGCCATCGGTCCCTGGTCTGCCACAACTAGATGTACGCGTTATGTGTCACGCGCCAATCTTTTGTCTTGTACCTCTTCCTGCGGTCATACCTGTAACAAAACGATTGTTAGTTGTACCATATACATCTCTGAATTGTAGCTTTGTTATTAATCGATAACACACCTGTACAATTCTTGGTTAGTGGAATAAAGCGGTGGTGAGTAGCCTGTCATTCTTCCAAACTGCCTGCAAACCCTGATGGGCAAGTGAATCTCGACCACGTGGAAGAAAATAAGAGGGACGTTGCAGCGATACTCATCTGACTCATCCCTAGTGATAGGACTCAGATAGTCCTGGAGCTCCGGAGCATCCCAAGGACACCAATGCACCGAACATTTCGTAATTGAGTTAAGTTATGATATAGTATACATCGAACAAGACACATGTATGATAGTAAAGAGAACGTAACCTGGTGCTGTGTCAGGACGTCGAGACAGTCCGTGTACTCCCTGTACTTGCGCCTCGCATTCCCTCTAACTAACTCTGTTTGCGTCTAGATATACAGAGTTGTAGGCAGTGTATCCTGCCCGTTCCAATGATGCATTGAACACGATAATGAATTAGCCATTAATAATTTCATCATATGTAACTGCCTCAAAGAATATAGTAAATCGAAGTACTTAAAGGGAAACCAGTAACAAGGGGCCTCCCAACGGGTCATCGTTCCCAACACCAAACCTAGAGTAGGTAGGAGCAACCCCCAAGGTTCGCATACCCTGAGGTGCGACGGCAGGCAACGCATAGCTGTCGATATGTCCATGCCAGGACTGCGCTGCCCCTAGTTGTACGTCGCTATGTTATCCTACGGCTAGCGTAGTATGTCAAGAAAGATCTAGCTGATGGTGTTGCCCGAGGCGTCTGGGAATAGGAAAGCACCAAGGAAGTGCTAGAGCCACACTCTAGCGAACTTGTCGATCTGAGCCTCATCAGCATATGGGTCTAAGTAATCAAAGCGCTCTGTGATCCACGATGACGAAACACCAGAACTTTTCCTAAAATTCACGAAAGAAAATGAGACCCGATGGCTGCAGGAAAGCCATGCAAGTATTAAATAGGCTTGAATTGCTCACTTATTTTTCTTGGAAACCTCGTCGTCCGGTGGAAGAAAGCCAATGAACTGAGCCACCAGCTCCTTCCAGTGATCATTGTCAACTATACCTGTCACTGGAAGTCCCCCTAACCGAAGGCCAAAGATAGCCTTCACGTCCTGCATGGTCAAGGTCATCTCGCCGCAAGGTAGGTGGAATGTGTGGGTCTCAGGCCCCCACCTGTTATAAGAATAGAACGACTGTTAGTTACCACAAATTTATTATAAGAATGTTTACGTACAATGAAGGCACTCGCACCTGTCTACAGCTGCAGTAAGTAGTGCTGGGTCAAGGGACGGAAGACCGTAGTTGACAACACGGACAAGCTCGAGGAAGCCAGCACACCGTATGTACGGCGTGTAACGCTCGTCCCACTGGTGCTCCCTAGTGTGCGTGCGGGGCCTAAGGAGGCAAGGGAACCTCTGCGTCGGTATCAGTCAA